GTCCTTCATCCCAGCATGCTACAGGCCCAATTTCAGTACCCTGGGCCTTTTGGTTATTGAGAAGAAGTTGATTGAAGATTTTAAGACATTTTACCCCTGTCACCTTGAAAGTTGGTCAAGGTCATTCATTTTAACAAACTTTGTAGCCCTTCATCCCAGCATGCTACAGGCCCAATTACAGTAGTCTGGGCTTTTTGGTTATTGAGAAGAAGTCGTTTGAAGATTTTAAGACATCTGACCCCAGTGACCTTGAAAGTAGATCAAGGTCATTCATTTGAACAAACTTAGGAGCCCTTCATCCCAGCATGCTACAGGCCCAATTACAGTAGTCTGGGCTTTTTGGTTATTGAGAAGAAGTTGTTTGAAGATTTTAATATATTTGACCCCTGTGACCTTGAAAGTGGGTCAAGGTCATTTATTTGAACAAACTTGGTAGCCCTTGATTCCAGTATGCTACTGGCCAAATATCATCATCCTAGGCCTTTTGGTTACTGAGAAGTTGTTTAAAGTAAAAAGTTGATGCCGGACAGACGGACAGACGGACGACGGATGACAGACAGACGACGGACGCCGCACCATGGCATAAGCTCACTTGCCCTTCGGGCTGGTGAGATAAAAATTCAGTCAAGACGTCTACCACCATAGATGGAAATTAAAATGGGGGATTACAAAATTTAACCTTCTTGGAATAGATTACTCTGTCAACTTAGATGAAATGATTAACATTAACTATAATAAAGCTATACAAAATTTAGATTATTCATAACTACAATGGTCTAAAAGAATACTTACACCAATAGGTAGAATAATTGTTTTAAAAACATTTAATACTTTCAAAAATGATTCATCTCCTTATGACTATACCGAATCCAGACAGAGCTTTTATTAAAACATTGAATTCTACTTTTTTTAAAGTTATATGGCAATGACCTATTGATAAAGTGAAAAGGAACACTCTAATTAAACAATACAACAAAGGAGGTTTAAAAATGATAGATATAGCGAACTTTATTGATAGTTTAAAATCTACTTGGGTAAGAAGACTTTTGACATCTAGTGATAGGGAATGGAAAAACATGTTTGAACATGGAATATGTCCCATACAGTGCCTTTCAAAATTTGGTGAAGGTTTCTTTGAAAACTTAAATATAACAAATTTATTTTGGAAAGAAGTCCTAAATACATGGATAAAAGTGTCAAAACTTAATAAAATAAGAACCAAAACTGACCTTCTTACCTCCCCTTTATGGTACAATTCTAACTTTAAGATAGGGAATCAATACATTTACTTTGAAGACTGGCATAAGGAAGGTGTAAATACAGTAGTTGACATAATGAAAGGAGATGGAGCATTTCTAAATTTTGAAGATTTCAAAGACAAGTTTTCTGTAATATCGAATAATTTCTTAAGTTACCAGAGTCTGTGTGCATCCATTAAATCTGTGATTAAAAAATGTAAGGTATATCTGAATAACAATACTATTGTAAGACCTTATTAACCTTTTCACACTCAAATTCTATTTAAAAGTAAAAAAGGCAGTGGAGATTTCTATTATACACTTACAGAGCAAAACCACAAAAACATAGCTAATACATCAGAAATTAAATGGAAAATAAATCCTATTTTCCAATATTTGAACTGAAATACAATTTATTTACTACCCTTTAAGGCTACCAAAGATACAAAACTACAATGGTTCCAGTATAAAATTCAAAATCAAATTCTACCAGTCAATAAATATTTGAAAAAGATTGGCCGGCATAACAAATAATGACAAGTGTAACCTATGCAAAAATAATGTAGAAGATTTAGAACATACGTTTTGAGAATGTAATGAAGCTCAGGTCATTTGGACCAAACTAGAAGAATGGATAAAACAAAAAACAAATAAAACAGTAGTTTTTGATTTGAAAATGATATTGTTTGGACATACAGTTAACATTGTCACATCACAACCTCTCAACTTCCTTATATTACTTACAAAATACTTTATTTTTTGTGCATCAAAAAGACAAGACAGAGTTAACTTCAACTTGTTAAAAGAATTTATTGCACAAAGATATACAATCGAAAAAGTTGTTCACATAAATACATGTAAACAAATTTTTTTTTTTCAAATATGGGAAGAGTGGGAAAATGTATTTACATAAAAACAACAACATTGATAAGTTGCAACCTATCCATATGACATAAAGATGTAACTATTTTAGAATAAGATTTCTTACTTTCTTAGGTAGTAAATTAAGCTTCCCCCTACATTTGTATAGCAGATTGTTTATAGGTTATAGGACTCTATATATATATCCATATATGTTTATGCATGAAATACAATTGAAAACATATATAAAGAGTGAAGGAGTGTTACAATGAAAACACCTACATATAATGCACTATTTTATTTTAAATGGATTTACTTGTATACTATGTATACATGTTTATACACATTTCATATCCTGATATTAAAAGAATAGCTGACTTATATACAATATGTATCTATATAATTTTTATACTTAGTTCAATTGAAGTTCACTTAAATAGCAATGTAGATAGAAATTATTATTAAGTCAGAATATATATATGGATATATATATTGCCTTGTAATAGTTTATGTCTTTGTGGTGTGATGTAAATGTATACAGTAGGTGATGTTTAGTTATAGGTAATGTTTGGTAAAAAAAAATAAAAAAAAATCTCAGATACTGAACTCCAGAACTCATCCCAAGCAAGCAAAAAAAATCAAGGATGTGACTCCTATGAGAGGATATGTTTACATGATATATGTATACTCATATGATATTTTACATGATGTATCTGTCAAGATGCTGCTGTGTATAAGACAAGTGAGTTTGTCGTCTCTCATATCTTCCAGTATAGTACTTAATGTGAAAGAAATCAAACTGATTATTGCAATATGAGAAAGATCTGTTAAGTTCTTCCAGGGGCCATCTTGTTTTTATGATCACACTCAAAAACAAAACATGCACATCTAAGGACCAAAGAGAACCTATATATGAAATTTAAGAAAGATATTTAAGTACTTTCTGAAAAATAGGGTTCACAAACCTTAACTGTCTAAATCAAAGAATGCCGCCTGTCGGCCATTTTGTTTAATTGATCAGTCTCAAAAGTAAACATGCACAATAAGAGACCAAGGGAACCTACATATGAAATTTGAGAAAGATCCCTCCAGTACTTTCTGAGAAATAGCGATAGCAAGAATTGTTTGAGGTCATGATTGACAATGGTAGGATGGACCAGGGACCATGAACCACGGACCACGGACGACGGGCCATTCGATTAGCCCACCATCATCAGATGGTAGGCTTAAAACAGTTGCATTATCATGATAAATGTGAAATGTTGAGCAATAAAGGGAAATGCAAAGGAACATGAGGCCCAGAGGGCGTGTATCTATCACCTAAATATCTAAGCAATCATGGCAAAATATGATCCCAGGGAGAGGGCTTGACCCTAAGGCCAATCCTTGTAGCATTAGATTTTTCATTATCAGCAATTGTATGTATCGTTATGGGGTGGGGATCTCAACTGTTTCAAAATTATGACCCAGGGGTTATGTATGCAAGTGTGGGGCAGACAATGCGGTTAAATTCTAATATCATGACTGCATTCGTCTTTTTTATGCTCAGCAATTGTATATATAGTTTTGGGATGGGGATCTCAACCATTTCGAAGTTATGAACGAGGGCTTAAGTCTCCAAGGGTGAGGCAGACCCTAGGGCCCTCCTGGAAGCATATGTGCATTTGTCTCTTTATACTCAGCAATCGTATATATAGTTATAGGGTCGGTGTCTCAACTGTTTCTAAGTTGTGATGCAGAAACTAGGTTCCCTAGGAGTGTGGCCAGACATAAGGATTAATGCTAATATCATGATTGTGTTTGTCTCTGTATGCCCATAGTTGTAAAAGTAGTTTTGGGACGGGGATCTCAACCATTTCAAAGTTATGACCCAGAGACTAAGTTTCTGAGGGTGGAGCCAGATCCCAAAGCCCTCCTGGAAGCATGTGTGCATCCATCTCTTCATATTTAGCAATTGTATATGGTCATAGGATGGGGATCTCAACCATTTCCAAGTTATGAACTATTTTTGGGCCCCCCCCCCCCCTAGCCCAGGGACTAGCTTGTCCATTTGTATAGTTTTGAATCCCAACCACCTTAGGATGCTTGCAACCAAATACTGTTGATATCTATCACTAAGTTTCAGAGATGAAGTTGCTGAAAGCAATATAAAGCCAAAATACACATTTTGACCCCAACCTCAGCCCCCTGGTGGGTCAGCCCTACCATTGTACAATTTTGAATTTCCACCACCTAAGGATGCTATCCATCAAATATGGATGATATTCATCTGTTAGTTACAGAGAAGAAGCTGCTTAAAGCAATATATAGCCAAACTATCCTTTCTGGCCCCTACCCTTAGCCCCTGGGGAGTCAGCCTGACTGTTTGTACACTTTTGAATCCCCACCACCTAGGGATGCTACCAGTCAAATATGGTTGATATCCATTGCTTAGTTCCAGAGAAGTCGCTTAAACTAATATAGCCAAATAACCCTTTTTGGCCCAGCCCCGCAGCCTCCTTGTTGGTCAGCCCATTCATTTGTTCAATTTTGAATCTCAACCTCCAATGAGTACTTCCAACCAAATATGATTGATGTCCAGTGCCTAGTTCTAGAAAAGAAGTTGTTCAGAGTAATATAGCCAAATTGCCCCCTTTTCGCCCCTTTTCGTCCCACCTCTCTACCCTTTGGGGGGTCAGCCCCACCATTTGCAAAAATTTGATTCCCTACCACCTAGGGATGCTTCAATTTAAATTTAGTTAAATTCCAATGAGTGGTTAAGAAGAAGAGGCTGTTTGAAGAAAATGTTGATGCACAGATAACAGATGGACAGCAGATGATGGACGCCACACTATGGCATAAGCTCACCTTAATCCTTCAGACCAGGTGAGCTAAAAAAGCAATTGAATTTAACATACTCACTCATTCCATCTTGGCTTGTCTTTGAACTTGTCATTTGCTTTCGAATACTTTGTGACACCCCACCAAACTGGTTTAGTGTCTCTGTGTCCAATTTGTCTTTCAGGAATTTCGAATGGAAAGCTTTCACCCCACAGGAAATGAAGCATCGGTATACAGGAGAGCCATGCAACATCTTGGGTTTTCCCAGCTATAAAGTTGACCATCTGCTGCATTGAATGTGTCACAGCACTGTAAAACATCATTACATTTCTATCTCTGTATCAAAAAACCTCCTTGAGACATAAATAACAGTTTCTGAATGTACGCTTGAGTCTCAATGTGAAATCTTACCAACAATTCTGACATTGGCATTTAATGCAAAGACAAAATTTCTAAATTGGTATTTGGGGTTTTTTCCATCAAATTACTTTTTTTTTAACCACATTTAATAGAACATGAGTTTTCCAAAACAAGAGGCCCAGTGGGACAACATCACTCACCTGGCATTAATCTCACACATGTAAGCTTTAATTGTCTAACAAGGTCATTCAGTTAAACAAACTTGGTAGCACTTCATCCGCACAAGCTTCTGGCCAAATATCCTTTCTCATGGCCTGTCAGCTATTCAGAACATTTTATTTTCAACAGTTAATCAACACATTTAACCCCAGTAACCTTGAGTATAAGTGAAGGTAATTCATTAAATAAATAAGATAGCCATTTCAACCTAGCATGCTACCGACCAAATATCCCTATATCTCTTGTTATTGTCTTGTGACCTTGAATATGGATGAAGATAATTCATTTGAATTATGGCCTTTCATTCCGGTATGATACCAGACAAATATCACCATCCTAGACCTCTTGATTATTAAAAGAAGTAATTTAAAGCTTTCCAACCAGTTTGGCCCAGGTGACCTTGAATATAATTGAAGGTCATTCATTTAAACCAATGATAGACATTTTTTCCAGCATGTTACTTGCCAAATATCATCACCCTAGGCCTCTTAGTTATTCAGAAGAAGTCATTAAAGTAATTTCAACCAATTTGACCCCACTGACCATGATTACAGGTGAAAGTCTTTCATTTCTACAAATTTAATAGCTCTTTATCCCAACATGTGTCTGGCTGTATATCACCATCCTAGGCCTTGTGGTAATTCAAAAGAAGTTATCTAAATGTTTTCAATGCATTTGGTCCTGTAACCTTGAATATGGTGAAGGTCAAACTTGATAGCTCTTCATTCTAACATGCTACTGGCAAAATGTCATCACCCTCTAGTCCTTTTGGTGATTCAGAAAAGGTTGAATATTAATTAACATATTTGACCTCTGTACCCTTGTAAATTGAACTTTATTTAAAGTTTTTTGACATATTTAACCCCTGTGACTATGAAAGTAATTCAAGGTCATTTTTCTTTGCAAATTTTGTCTGACTTTATCAAAGGAAGCCACTAGCCAAATATTATCATTCTAGGCCTCTTGGTTCCTTACTAAAAATTGTTTAAAGGAAAACTTAACGGAGGACAGACGGACGGACAGACTAACAGACGCCACGCCACAGCTAGGCAAGTGAGCTAAGAGATTTTGTTGAAATCACTCCAGTAGAATATAATTACCTCAACTTTCCTTGAAAACTGCCTTTCACATTGTCAACTTCCTTCTGTAGGGCATTTTTTTCTAAAACAGGAAGTTGAAAGAGAGCACATATGGATGCCATTTCCTTCTCTTCATCTTTCCATGGTGAATGGTAGCCAAGTCCATTTTTCATGATAAGATGGACTAAGGTAAGAATAACTGCATACTTCAGACAGTTTTGTGGAGCTTCAGGAACTTCCTTCCGCAATTGCTGCAATATCTGTTGGATCTGAGGTTTGATAACCTGGTATAAAAGAAAGTTGTAAAGAAACGCACATTCTCTATCTTATAGCCATAAACTTGAGATGACAGCTCTGATGTGGCTTTTAAAGTAAAGCCATGAATGGGATACATAAAACACTATCTGGTGGTGATAATTACGTGTGTTAATATGAGCAGAGATCAAACAGAAAAATTGTCTCTTTAGGGTTTTGTGTCATTGCAACAGGATAATCCATGGGTAAAAAACACACATTGTGATAAGCAATGGGGTTGGCGAGTTGAAGAGAGTTTTGGTGATGAATTTAACATAAATGTAAATGTTTCTACATGCCCACCAAAACATAATATTGTTGCCAGTGATTGAAAATTATTGTTTCATAATTTCCTGGCCCTTTGGGTTGGTGGGTTGGGTGGGGTGATTTGATGGGGTAGGGAAAGATAAATATTCCCCTTTAACGTCCTGTTCAACTTCTGAACTTGTTTTGATTAACAATATAGAAATATATGATTTTTCATAGGGGGTACTTTTTATACGAGGGGAGGGGGGTACATTTTAAAAAGTATCTGGATGCTTTTTTGGTAGGGGGGTACTTTTTATGCATGACACCTGTCAGGTCATATTGGGAGACATCACAATGTAGCAAAACTATGGAATTGCAAAAAGAACAGAGTGCAACAAAATCATTCCAGCTAAATGTATAAAAAATTAGCGCAAATATGAATAGTAACCTTAATGCTCCAAAATACATGAAATCTAGACTATTCTTCCTTCAGCAAGTCAATGAAACATAAAAGGTAGGTCAAATTCAGCATAGACAAGGTATGTTTAGGAGAGCAACCCTAGCTGTATTATTGTTGCAAGTATTGTCCATGTAGTAATTTTATTACCAAGATATAACGTTGGTGCAGGCAAATTGTCACATTAGTAAAGGTTTCGGTTCATTATTCGTCCAAAAACCGTATGTATCAAAATGCCGACGAGCACCAATACAGAAGAAGATTTGACTGAAATGCCTATAAATAAACATTGTTGTAAACACGCATGAATGACGTCATGCAACAAAATTTGTGACGTCATAAGGCCTTCCATGGTTTTGCTCAAAGGTGCAGACAGTTTCGCCACCTCCAAACATTTTACTTATTTACAAGCAATCTAAATGTTTAAATGTAAACTTTTGTATGTTTATGTTACACAAGCTGTACCGATACGAACAGCTCCAAATGTGTGTGTGTAACAATGATTAACATTGAAATATATGGCTTTTCTTAGTTGTGATAGTTAGTTTTTCGGTAACTTGAAGAAACTGATTAATGTTGTTTGAGAAAGATGGCAGGTATTGGCTGAGATAATGTCAATTTACATGATACGCAATACAGACTCAGTCCTGAATTAAATATAAACTTCTATATAGCTTTTTCTTTGGGTCAGGATGAGAGGGTCCAGGGCATTCAACGTACACCCCCCCCCCCCCCCCCCCCCCCCCCCCCCCCCCCTCCCCCACACACACACACTTTTGGATAACTAGTCACATGTACATTCTCCGATCATCTTGCACATCAACAGGAAACATCTGACAAATTAAAACAATTTTTGGACTTGAAAATTTATTCAACAAAAACTGCCCGTCCAGGTGTTGTAAATGTACATACTTTTTCATGTAAAAGTCAGTCTTTGGTAACTCAGTGTCAGTCTCTACGTACAATTTCAGGCCAACAACAAATTCTTTTCAAATATAAATCCAGAAAATTTCCAGATGGTATTTTGATTTAAGTGTTGTAAGATGGTTGAATGTAAGACGCAAACAATACCTTTAAAAAGATACTGGTTGATTGTATTCTTAATACACATTGCATGAAAATGGAAAATGAATTATCAAATCTTTCCGAGCGTCAATTCCATAAACAAGCATTGGGTCGTCAGTACGTTGTATTTACCAAAGTACACTTGTAGAAAAACAATATACTTGCATTGATGGCTCAGTCGACCATTAACTACAATTAGCGTTGAGATATGGGTATTGTCAATGTGTATGTAATGAATTTACACCAAATAACAACCAACAGGCTTCTGATTAATGAATTTAGTTGACGAGATGTCCGTCGCAAAGATTAATAATATAACTTTTCCCTTCTTATACCTCTTCCTGTCGAAATGTTTGAAGTCTTTAACTGTGCTGAAGACTTTGGTGACGTTATTTACGTCACATCTTATGTATTATGACGTCATATGGCATTTTTCGTCGCAGGGTGGCGAATTTGGGTGCATGGCGAATTTGCCTGCACTAACGTTAAACTTCATAATTTTACTAAATGTGATATATGAGGAAAGAATTATCCTGTAGCACTTAAAGTCACCCAGATATAAATCAAAAATTTGTCTTGATGTGATATATAATGGAATATTAAGGAAGTCTCTAAATATTTATATGAAGGTGATATTCAGCATCCACAGCATGCATTCAGTACAGACCCTAGCTGCATGATTGATGCATGTATTATCTATTTATCACTTCTCATTACCCAATAACAAGAGACCCAATGGGCCTGTATCACTCACCTGATGTTAATCTCATATCACTTATCAAGCTACAAGCCAAATATTACCCTAGGACTTTTTATTATTTAGAAAAGAAAAAACAAGATTTCTATAATCATTTGACTTGCAAATAGTTCAACGTGATTCATTTGAACAAACAAGGTAGCAATTTTTCCTACTGGCCAGATATCATCAACTTAGAAGCTTTGGTTATTGAAAAGATGTTGTCATGTGACCTTGAAAGAAGGCCAAGGTTAAAATATGTTTGAACAAAATTGGTAGCATTACATCCAGGTTTGCCACTGGCCCAATATCACCACCCATGGCCTTACTGATATTTAGAAGAAATTTATTTTGACAGATTCACACATTTGACCATTGTGACCTTGAACAAACTGGGTAGCCAGTTTCTCCCTGCAGGCTTCTGGTCAAATATCACCAGCCTGAGACTTTTGTATTTTGAGAAGATACTGTTTAAAGGTTTTGTAAATTATTTGTACAGGTGACCTTGACAGTAGTCAAAGTCATTAATTTAAACAAAAATAGTAGCCTTTTATCTTTATCCTAACATGCTACTGGCAAGATATCATTACCCTTGGCTTTATGGTTGTTGAAAAGAAGTTGTTTGAAGATTTTAACCCATCTGATCCATATGACTTTTAAAGAGGATCATTGTCATTATTGGAACAATCAGATAGTCCTTCATTACAGCATGCTCCTAGTCATATATCATCATACTAGGCTTTATGGATATTAAGGAGAAATTGTTTTAAAGATTTTTTAAACATCTGACCTTGAAAGTGGGCTAATGTCATTCAGTTTAACAAATTTGATAGCCCTTCATCTCAGCATGATATTGACCAAATATCATCATCCCAAGCCTGTTACTTATAGAGAGGAATTTGTTAAAAGAAAAAAAGTTGATGCCAGCCAGATAGAAAGACGGACGCTGCACCATGGCATAAGCTCACGGGCCCTTCAGGCTAGGTGAGCTAACTAGAACTGTCACCAGAATGGCAGACTTAAAATACCCCTGCTTATGCCAAGAACAGTAAGAATAATTCTTTCCAGGATGTATTTTTAAACAAAGGGGAGGCGATGCCTATTCAATACTTATTTATGTCCCCTTGATGTAATGGCTCTGTCCATCAAGTATCATCATCTAAATCTGTGCCGTACTGTGTGGGAACAACTTATTTAAATGTAGGAAAAAAACTTGTAAATAAGAGGAGGTAACACAACTTTATATACTTTATTAAAATCTCATTAATGTAAGCATTATTTATATCAAGTACTATTCAAATAGGTGCAGTACTTCGGGAGGTGTAGTGCGATTAGAGCATTACTCCATTAGTTGTGAAGGTAACCGGTAATTTAAATCTATATATTTTATTCAAATCCCCTCTATGTAAGAGTTCTGTGTACCAAGAATCATTGAAATCAGTGCAGTACTTGAAGAGGAGATGGAAAAACAGCAGTGTGTCTAAAGGCTGATTCACAGACAGACAACCCCATTCTTTGTTGTGTGGAGTATTACAGAATGTACATGGACAGACAGACCCAATACTTTATACCCTGCCAACTTTGTTTCGCTTGGAATAATAACTGAACTTTGCTATGTTAAATGGATTACAATTGTATTATGTCATTTTTACCCAAAAGTCATATTTTAATGTCTAAGTATTCAACAACTACAGAATTATCACTATTGTTAACCATTATTTATAACAAATGACTCATAATAAATTCAACTGCTTAAAGTAATTTTCTTCGCAGATTGGTGTTCATGTAAAAATTTTGCTACCAAACACATAGATGACTAAAGCAAACCAAATATTTTGTACTCATTAAAAGCAAAATGGAGAAAATGTATTACCTTTTCAGCATGATGTTCAAAGTCAACATAGCTGCTCCACACAACAGCAGCATTGGTGTACACTCTGTTTAATCCAGTGATCATGTCTTCATATAGGTCAAGAATTTCAGCCCCACTCATATGTCCAGTTTGTAATTCATCCATAAGGTACCCAAAAGATATTTGCAGTGATTTATTTGCATCTCCTTTCAAAATGGATTGGTGTTCAGGTCTTTTTAATATTACTGACGCCACTTGGGAATACCAAGGTACATCTAGATGACCATTTACAACTCCATCAAACCTGTACCAAATGCCTATGGAAGGAAAAGTTTATCACTGATACAATCACTTCTGATAAATTAATGTCTGTATGTTGCTACATAATGGTAATATATATGCATGTTTTCCTTCGATATAGAAACATAAGTATTTACCTGCATTACGCTTTGCGTTTGGAGTGTTCAACCGACGATTTTGATGATTACAAAAGTTTTCAGGGATAAAATGTCCATACTGGTTCATGATACCATATTTGTACCAATATGTTCTGTGAGTTTCTTGTTGTTGAAAAGTCACTGTCCCCTTGTACTCCACAAGTCCATCATCATGAGTTCTTCAAATCAATCAGAGTGGAAAGCAATTAATGCATTTACCAAACTGTCAATATAATGTACAACAAGAAATATTTACCTATAGAAATGTAACACATATATGTATGACCGGTAGGTGGGTTTTTATATGAACACATGAATCAAATGAAGTTGGTTTATCACCAGTATAACAGTACAGAGTGTTCCATTTAAAACCTCTTCCCTTTGGCAGGTAATGTCATTGCTTCAGTTTTTCAATAAGAGATTTCAAATAAATTTTCCCCAAAAATCAATACAATACTATTTTTTAATACCTTTTGTGAGGGATGCAAATTTTGTATCTTTAAAACGGTTAGAATTGATTCGCCCGATAAAAACATAACTGAATATTTTGCACTTTGTCCTTTGACCTGGACATGATGGTAATGGTGACCTAATTTAAGTGAACTTCCCAACCTCTATGGGTGATGCAGGCATGATTCAATTAAGTTTCTTCAATACATCTTTAATTGAAAAGCTACAGCCCAAACGAGATGCTATTAGAAGAACCAAAAGTAACCATGCAGAGAGACAAAAAAACAGTTCTTATACAGCAATATGTCTCCCTCTCATTTGATAGGAAGAAAGAACACAAATTTTGTTTTCACTGTGAAATAAGTTTGATATTAATCATCTTTGGAAATACTAGAAAACTTCATAAATACACTTGAAACAAGAGGTCCAGGGGCCTAGACAGTCATATGAGGACACATTGTTAAAAATAATAAAGTGATCAAGCAACAAATAAAATTTCAACTAGAGAACTCCCAGCTGGCAGACATCAGATAAGGTTGTATTGGTCGCAGTTTAGTATACAATGTCTTACCAACGTCGGGCTGACATCTTATACAACATTTGAGTTTTCTCTTAAAAGCAAATTATAGCGCAACGTCAAACCACCCTTGCAAAATAACCTTTGAAATGGCGATTTCGATGGTTGGGTATACAACGTAAGTACAAACTCGAACCAACGTTTAAAAATAACCTTTGAAATGACGATTTCATGGTCTGGTATAAAACGCAAGTATGACGTTGAAACACAATATTTCAAAATAATCTTTAAGCAACCAAAGTGCGACATCAAACCAACATTTTAAAATAACCTTTGAGATAATGATTTTGATGGTTGGGTGTACAACGTTAGTTCAAATCCAGCCATATTTTTTAATACCGTTTGAAATGAAAACTTAAAAGGTTGCTATTCAACGTTGGAACAATGCCAAAGCAACATTTCAAAATAATCTTTCAGAAGGTTATTTAAATGGTTTGGTGTACCACGTTAGTACAACATTGAGCAAACGTTTCAAGATAACCTTTGAGAAGAGACTATTTAATGACTGGGTATACAACGGAGTACAATTCGAGCCAACATTCAAAAAAACACCTTATTTGTATTTACATTTATTTGCGCAACATCAGACCCATACAACATTACAACGTTGTATCTTTTGCATGATTGGATCAATCAACTTGAATAGAAAGTATAGAAAAAATATATCACAGGGTAAGCACACATTATATAGATCATTATCAATATTAATTATCTGTACGAATAAGAAATATAATAACTAAGCTGTAAACACAAATGTACATTCTAACAAACTAGTTATTAATAAATATAGAAACATAAACAGAACATATACCAGTAACTCGTGTAAAAACAGTGGTGGTTTTCGTAGATCTTTCCACCGATTATACAGAAGTTGAAAAATGGTATACACTTGTTGGGATGGGCGTTGGAAATTGGTCAGCGGTTTTCCCGCCAGCTGCCCAATCATTTGTGTCCAGAGAGCATATATGCAGCTGAAGCTGACCGACCAACAAGTTATTGGCGGAAACCTTTCATAACAAGTACATGTAAGCATACAAAAGTTTTAGACAAATTTTGTTTAATGGAAATAATTTCAATGAATATTGGAAGAGGTAATACTTGCACTGCATCTCCACAGCATTTAAACAATGTATGCAATGCATTGATGCATTGGTACTGTAGGGTCCAGATCAAAAGTTTGAGGAATACATGGTATTATGAAAAGTTCTTGTTACACAACCAATAAGTGTTTCTATGTGATGTTTAAAGAACAAGAAAAGGCCAATCAAGGATCATAACAAAACCAAAGGTCAAGTGGTAATCCAGTATATAAAAGGTATATCCAAAACCATCCAGAGGATATATCGTGGCCATGGCACAGCAACAGCCATGAAGCCCCACAAGATGCTCGCAATATCCTAGTTCCTAGTACCCTAAGGATAGAACACCTAAAGAAAATGTCACAGAACATGTATACAAAATTGGACACAAAAACTCCAACGCATCGTATATTAGAGAGACTTGAATGCGATTTGGGGTCCACCTTGGTGAACACCGGAAAGATACGGAAACCTAAGAAGGAAGAAAATTCACCAGATCAGAAAGGAAGCAGTCAGAGTTTCAGATAAATAAATCGGCAATCACAGACCATGCCACACAGAAAAATCATGTGATTGACTGAGATAACTCCAAAGTATTGGACAGTGAGAGAGCAATCTGTTCAAGCGACAGATAAAAGAAGCCATCAGGATATGCTGCCGTTGGCCAGTTCTAAATCGAGATGAGGGGGCTCAAAGACTCTCGCACATCTATGACTAAGTGATAAACACAGCATAGCTGAATCTAGTCATTTCTGTACATATATAACAACCATTGTACATACGCTTACAGCATAGCCGAATCAACATCGATTTTGTGGACAACTCATACACATTTTACACCTTTGTGTGCATACACTTCACTGGTCATTTCTCTGATTAAGGTGACAGACTATATATCGTATTAGTCATCGAAACGTCACATAGAAACATTTATTGGTTGTGTAACAAGAACTTTTCATAATCCATACTTACCAACCTATATTCGACAAATCATTGGTTAGACCGACATCGTCATTAAAAAAAAAATATCAGGTGGGAGAACAGACAGTATGAGCACTGCAACTATCGCAGATAGTAGATGATAGAATAAAAAAGAAGTTTAATCAAGATGACAGCATTTAATAAGATTTAAAATGGCTAAATGTTTTCATTGTTTAGCTATTTTAAAGCTTTTCCAGTATTAAGAAAGTAAATAAAATTAAAAAGCTCAGGTGTAACATACTTGTCGTTTTGACATAGTCCACCATACTGTAATCGGCTACATCAATTTTACAAAATATCAAAACGAGAGGGACTCTTTGATCATTTTAAAGTGAAGAAAATCTTGAATCCTTGTTATCATAATGTTGATTGATAACGAAATTAACAATCACAACGTATTCAAGTTAAAATATCTTTAGAGTTGGTTAAATTCTGTTATGTGATCTCCGCTGAACATTGCCGTGCCGAAATATGGTTTTACAAACCAAGTGAATAAACACTTCCATCAAATCATCAATGTCAAAACATTGTCTTGAATAAATGAATATGCACACAGAATGATAATGCAGCTACACCAGGGTATCGGTACAGTTACTGAATGATACTGCCGTTAATCCTCTGATTATCTGACGTCCAGCCGACACCTGTATAAGCAAAATGATCCTGGACCGCAGCCTGTGCCATGTGACATGTGGACATCAATGCCGGTGTGATAAAAAGGTAAAATATCTGCCGGGCATGACAGGTCACACTTGGTCGATGAATAGATAGGATAAATACTATGACCATGAAGAGTCGGACACAAATTTTTGTTCCAGTAATATGGGGTATTCGAGGAATAGCGGTTTGACTAATCCAGGGTTACTTTACAAACAAGAGTACCAAAGGGCGGAACAATATACACCGTCGAATGCCATATAGTGTTATATACTTTCTTACATTGAAATAAGATCTGCATTATTCTAAGAGTGGTTAGTCGAAAATGTAGAAGAAAATCTCCGGACAAAAAATAAAATACTGGAATAAACAAAGGGCAATAACTTTTGCAAAAATCGTTAAGGTAGACACAACTTCACATCATAGTTATAATGTATACCAAGTTTCAAGGAGATCTGTTGAAAAATGTTGGAGGAAATTGACGGACAAAAATCAAATACTGAAATAAACAAAGGGCAATAACTTTTGGCTTTGCAAAAATTGTTGAATCAAAATTCTTTTCAAGGAAACACAACAACATATCATGATTATTTAGCCTACTGAATTTCAAAGAAATCCGTCAAAAAATGTAGGAGAAGATCACCGGACAAAAAAACAAATACTGAAATGAACAAAGGGCAATTACTTTTGAAAAAATTGTCGAATAAAAATTCTTTCAATGGAGACACAAATTCATATCATGATTATAATGTATACCAAGTTTCAAAGAGATCGGTCGAAAAATGTAGGAGGAGATTGCCGGACAAACAATAGTTTAAGCTTGACGGACGCACGAACACCCCAATACCATAATACTTTCGTCAAATTTGACGGACGTATAAAAATATGTACAAACTTGGTCGGTCAATTTTTGGTCCCCACCACCTAGGAATACTTCCAACAAAACATACTTGATGTCCATGGCTAAGTTCTAGTGATGAAGTACCTTAAAGCAAAATAGCCAAATTACCATTTTTGGCCACGCCCCTCAGACCCCTGGGGTGTCAACCCCACCATTTGTACAGTTTTGAATCACCTCCATCTAGGGATGCTTCCAACCAAATATGGTTGATATTCATCTCCTAGTTCCAGAGAAGAAGTCGCTTAAAAAAATATTATTATAGCCAAATAACCCTTTTCAGTCCCGCGCCTCATCCTCCTGGGGGGGTCAGCCCCTCTAATTTTGAATCCCCACCACCTAGGGATGCTACCAGTCAAATATGGTTGATATCCACTGCTAAGTTCTAGAGAAGAAGTTGTTTATAGCAATATAGCCAAATTGATCCCTTTTGGCCCCACCCCTCAGCCTCCTGGGGTCTCAGCCACACCATTTGTACAGTTTCGAATCCCCACCACCTAGGGATGCTTCCAGTAAAATATGGTTGATATCCACTGCTAAGTTCTAGAGAAGAATTTGTTTATAGCAATATAGACAAATTGATCCCTTTTGGCCCCACCCCTCATCCCCCTGGGGTCTCAGCCACACCATTTGTACAGTTTTGAATCCCCACCACATAGGGATGCTTCCAGTCAAAATGTGGGTCCACTCCAATGGTAAAAATCCCAAATGGTTGGCCCACACAACGATTTTTTCATATTTTGCAACAACGTTGCCAGATTGATACTGGCAACGTTGTTGCAAAATACTAAAGAACCTGAAAAATCAGCAAGGAGGCATGGTAGTCTAGTGGTGGGATGCCAGGCTCGTGACAGAAGGGTTGCGAGTTCGAGTCAAGGCACAGTACTGTGTTGTATCTTTGCGCAAGATACTTTACTTCGCTTGTTCCAGTCTACTCAGCTGTAAATGAGTATGAGGTTGGGCAGCGCTAGAACTGTTGAATGCTAGCTGTTTGAGCTGAAATGGCAGCTCCGGCTGTATGCTCCCCAGGGAGTTGAGAAAGATATAGGCTGATTGCAAAGGCCCTATAACCACGGATAATAATTTGTGAACCGCTTTGAGACAACCTACGAACTAGGTTGTGATAAAGCGGTATATAAGAACCTCAAATTATTATTATTATTTTAATCTAAAGCTCATTTTGTTCGCTATATTGCTGCTGCTAAGGTGTAGTTGATCATTTTGATACCAAATATGTACTTCTTTACTAGAATCTGTGATGGAAGTACTGGGTTCCTCATCAAAACTGGAGTCCAAAATGAGCTTAAATGAGCACTTGACATAACTCACCTTCCTCGGCTATGCTTTATAGTTGCAGTCCACCAATTGCTTATAAATTATGCTACACTTATGCGACACTATTGGGTCATTGCCAAAAAATTTGCATATGAATGAAAAGTACTGAATGACGTGCCATGTAAGGAGATATCAGATTCCATTGTAAGGACAGATAGACCATATAAGGACATAGATGTCGCTTCTTTCGTTTCTGCAATTCCACATTAAGTAGTATGCTTGATCCCCTAGACACTTGTGTTACCTAAAGCATGTGTCAAAAACAAGGGAATGGCTACATAGAAGCTTCAACAGATACTACTGGAAAGTCAACCAATACTATTGTCTATACTAAATTTGATATTTCATTCCTTTTGAATCAACTTACTGCAATTTCTCCATAAGGAACAATTGTGTAGAAAACTGTTCAATGAAAATGCAAACAGGTCGCCTGACATCATCTAAAAGGGTCGGTGACAAAATGGCCTTAAACACAACAGCAACATCACTAGATCTGCTCCTTGTTGGATAACCATGTTGTGGTGGTCTAAAACAAAGAAGTAAACCTTTTGTCACTGACATGCAGTTATATATATTATGTTCTTGATTGTGTATGTAAGGTATAATTAAGCAACCATTTTTATTTTTGCATCTTGGCTATAAGAAATAGAGAAAAAACATTGCAAATAATGAGCCTTAAATTGAAAATGTTTAGCAAGACATCATAGTAATCAAACGAATGAGTAGTTGTTACACATAGTTTGCCAACACTTTTACACAGGTAAATCTGAATCCTGAAATTGAAAAGTCTGCCTTTTATTTGAAAGTAAACACAAACTATGACTCTAATACTTAGAAAGATTGATCATGTTACTCAGACAGTAATAGTACTGTTAACGACAGCCTTCCTTGGCGTATATAATTACAGTCACTCTACTTTATCATAAAGATCTAGGTCCTACTTCTTTTTGTAGATTTATAATTTTATATAACAAGTAAAAGTTTGTTACCAAATCATTTTGTTTATATTTCTAAATTGTTTAAACTAGCTATATATAGATAGAACATTACTCTAAGAGGTTGGTGACACAACATCCTTTTTAAGTGGAAAATTCAGTTCAATTTGAATGTTTACCACCAGGGATACTACTATCGTATGGAGTCCCCATCATCAATTAGTTCCAATGTAGCGTGGACAACATGGTAAAATCTTGCTATCAGGTTTAATTTACCAAGGGTAATTCAGCATTGTGCATAAACACAAGGCTTAACTAAATTCAACCAACAGCAAGGTTCTGCTGTGTTGTCCTCCCTCCATTGAAATAGACAGAACTATGTCGGATAACTTATCTGTCGAAAATGTATAAAATATTTCTTTGGCTTACCTATTTCCAGTACTGCTCTTTGGTGGCATTATATCCGTTGGTAGATTCTGTTGCCCAGCTGCATGCTGAAAAGACGTCATCTTTAAATTCAAATTGATAATGTTTACTGTATTTGAACAAGACATATATTTGTAAACTTTTCACATTCAATTGATGAGCAAAATGGGATGGAAAAGCCCACAAATATTACTGACTGGTCAAATTGACAGAAACTGATGCCAAATCTCCAGCACATTGATCTGCTTTGATAGCTGATCACCAGACCACACACCAGGTCAAGCATGGCAATCCAGGTAAGCACCTCACCCTGTCATTAAAGCATCTATGTCAAAATAGGTAAAAAAAAGTCATGGTGGGACATGGCCTGCACAGGGGTACTCCCTGTAGCATTAAGAAGCCTTAAACAGCTTCATCAACAGGATAAAGGGAAGCAATGCTTCCTAATACCAGATAAGGGACATGAAGGGCTCATGAAGACAAGAGCTAAATCTGGAGCCTTCAGAAACTTTTCTGCTTACAGAACAATGCCCAGAACAGCAATAAAAGGGTTGTCCACAACGACAAAGTCCTGAAAAGGGGACATCTTTGATCGCTCTCTGATTATTCTCTGCTATGGGATCCCTGGCCATGTGCAACCTGAGGGAAACTTCTAAGTAGACGTAAACATCTATATCCCAGGTATGTAGGAAACTCACAACTTTCTTGGTGTCATAACCAACAGAACAGTTGGCCAAGTTATCCTCCCTGGGCTAAAGCTCTGGAGACTCAGAATGGGAGATTTTATTGGCTAAATATCTCGACCTTGGGATATGAAGAGAAAATGGTACAAGAACATCAACAGGTAAGCAAAGCCAATATCCCCATTAATCACTCAGCAGAAGCTACACAGCAATCATTTTGAATTTTGAAGTATTGGCAATAAAACACTATACACTTGATTGTAATCTGATAACAGGACCAAGGGAAACCTACATATCAAATGTGAGAAAGATATCCCTCCAGTACTTCCTGAGAAATAGCGATAACAAACATTCACAGTAAAAATCCAAGATGGTCACCTGTCAGACATTTTGTTTATCTGATCAATTTCAAAATTGAATTTACACAATAAAGGACCATGAGAAACATAAATATCAAATTTGAGTAAGATCCCTCTTTTACTTTCTGAGAATTAACGAGAATTGTTTAAGGATGGACGGACCATTGATAAGGGCAATTTGAACAGCCCACCATCTGATGATGGTCAGCTAAAAATATACAATATAGGTCAAACATCAAACCCCAGTTAAAATCTTGGATAAATAGGGTACCAAGCAAGTTTTTAAAAACTAGATGATTCATTAGGAAAATATCACACAAATAGTAATCAGCCATGCAATCAGAATGCAGCTTCTGCATTAAATACAACAAAAAATGTCAATGATCAAACCTGAAAGAGGGAATTGAGTAATTAAGGAATACATCAGCAAAGGTTAATCAAAATCTGAACGTTCCTTCATAAGATATCACACGGAAAGCAAAAAATGGACAGACAGAAGGATGAATGGACAACCCAATCACTAAAGGGCACCCCATCTTCATTGTAGGACCTTTACTAGACCACTGGACTGATTGGTAACTTAAAGGCCACACAAGGGGTGAAAGCACTGTAGGCCCGCCAATATCGATTACTAGAGCCAGTCAAAAAGAATTGGAGGGTTGTTTCGGAGGGGCAAACCATGCCCTAGTTATTCCACTAAGGAAAAGAGGAGAACCATCACTTCCTCTAGCCGCACACCCAAGTTTATACATAACTTCACACAATGAAAGAGTTAACCTGTTTATTACTTGAGTTAAGACACAGATATGAATGTGCAAGCAAAGAACAAGTACTAAAACCTACTGTTAACATTTGGCGTATCAGGGGCTACTCACTCTATAACAAACCTACTAATAGTAATAAATTATTCTCAAAAGATTTTAACGGAAGCTAGACTCTGTGAAGTCACAGAGAAGCTTGATAAAGATTTTAACGGAAGCTAGACTCTGCGAAGTCACAGAGAAGCTTGATAAAGATTTAACGGAAGCTAGACTCTGCGAAGTCACAGAGAAGCTTGATAAGAGCGCGAGCTAGACTCCAAAGAAAACAAGAGAAGCAGCTAGACTCTGAAGACTCCAGAGTAGCGACTAATATCCATGGAGAAGCTATAAAAGACTATGAATTGGAAACGCTAGACTCCGAAGAAGGCAAGAGAAGTCACTAGACTCTGGAGGCATCCAGAGAAGCGACTAGACTCATAGCCACCCCAGAGAATATATCTGTTAAATTTACCACGAGAAAACTTGCTACAGATAAAGTGAAGTAATAATCTATTTAAGAGATTGGGGGTAAAATTCCCAAAGAATTATGTATAGACCCTACAATGGCAGAATTCTAGAAACACAAACCACTCACAAGCTGGTTTTAAGAAAGTCTAATTGCTACAAACAAGCAAATGCCTAACATACAAAAGAATAGATGCTCATACAATACTGCACATATAATACTGCACATACAATACTGCACATATAATACTGCACTACTGCACATACAATATTGCAATACTGCACATACAATACTGCACATATAATACTTTATTTACAATACTGCACTACTGCACATACAATACTGCACTACTGCACATACAATGTTGCAATACTGCACATACAATACTGCACATACAATACTGCACTACTGCACATACAATACTGCATTACTGCACATACAATACTGCACAAACAATACTGCACTACTGAACATACACTACTGCACATACAATACTGCACAGTTCAATATTGAATACTTAATTGAGTGTTGAGTCTACTCATTTGGGTATTGAGTACAGTGTATTGATAATTTGATGGAGAATAGATACCACACCAAATATGAATTCAAAGCTGGCATCTCTAAATAGTTATCAAGGCATGTTAGACACTATATAATAATGGCCCTTGTAGGTTATTATCAAATTTGCAATTCTCAGTTATACCGTCCCAATCATTAAGATCACATTGGTAGGCTAGTTACATTAAATATATAAGATATCTGAAGTCAAAGATATTTCTGACCTGTACATTTTTGCTGCTTGTTGTTGCCGGACGACTTTCCTCACTTTTTCCTTTTTTGGAAGTAGGTTCCCTGGAGGCGGATCCTGAGGAGTTGTTCTTCATAGAATTATCCTTTTCTGTTGAATTCTCTTTTTCAACATCCATCTCCTTAGAGAAAAACTCAGTATTCAGTATTGTTGATATGTACTTGGTTCTATAGAGGCATAGTAAAAAAGGGATGTACATTCTACTTGAATCTGTAAACTAACTTATTCAATAAAGTGCTCATCCTTTCTGTCTATTCAATAACAGACCACAAAATGAAAACAATCATATAATTTAACAACCCAATAGAAAATATCACTGGATTGCACTTGTATTCCTGTGAAATTACAGTGGTAAAATTGGCCAATATTCCAACATGTGACCCTCCATGTCCTTACTTTCTCCTTGAAGACAAGAACCAAGAACCTATTCAAGATCGTCTAAAGGGGGGGGGGGGGGGGGGGGGGGGAATTGGGTCATCCTACATGGGGAAATCAATTAATATAATGTAACAGAATTGTATTTTATACTTCATGTGTTTATTTTTTATAACTCTTAGTATTTGTAATGATCTCACATCCTTATTTGTTCAGCACTAAGCAACTCCCTAACAAGACTTGTATTGACACGTGACTGAAGCTCAGATGCTTATTGATTTAGAACCTTACCAAGTTTACCAACCAGGTGCTTGTCCTATGATGTAGGCCCAATGCTTTTTGCCACAAATTTGGCTCACTTCGACCTTGAGAGAGCCAGCACAAGGAAGGTAGAAGATAGTTGGTCAGTACATAAAAATGCCTTTACACAGAGTAGGGCCTGGAAAGAGGGACATTGGTAGGCAGGAACACCAAGGCTTATTCACAAGCATATCATAAAGGATAGAAAATCAGCAAGATAGCAACACATTTGACAGAAAAGAGCTCTAAGGAGCTGCTTATTACTGTTCCAATTAAGGGCAGACATGAGTCTATCCTGCATGTCTTTGCTTTTCCAAAGACATCTAATACTCAAGCAAATCATAAAGTCTGTACAAAAGACGGTAAAAAAATCCACATATGTAAGGAGAGAGAGAGAGAGGTGCAACATCATCTCCCTCTTGTGATGTTCCTTAGCTTATAACACCACCTCGGGTCAACAAGCTTTCCAGCCCAGAAAGCTGAATCCCTAGGCTTCAGCTGAGCCAGATGGGGAGAGGGACAACTTCCTGTCATAAATGGGTCAAACACCTGATAAATTTGCCAATTTTATTGAATTGCTGCTTTGGAAACCCAGGGCAGACTTCGTAACACTTCAAGTCTGAGACACAACTAGAGCAGAGGACACAATAGCGGCACTATCAGGCCAGGTTTGTCACCCCTTGGAACAGGCTTTGGAGGTACCACAGAACAGAGGTCACCGATGTGGTCACCTCCAGGACTGAAGATGCACAGGGTGGTAGTCATTCATTCTCACTGAGAATCCAGGCTGAGAGCATTCACATACCCGAAATAATTAATTTCATCATATTTTATTGAGTAAACAATAGGATTGAACAGCAGGCTAGGCCTATATAAGTTCTCTCCGTAGGTTGACATGACAAAGACAGAGATGAAACGGTTAATAAGAAAATATTGATGCAAAATGTATATTATAATTAGCATAAATCCTCAGTCTATACAACAAATGGTATAAGGGAGATAACTCCATGTATCGCTTTCATTTATATAATACATATTTAATTAATAATTTGAGCTATTCAATGTTCTCATTAAAAGTCAGTTGCTGACTTGCTGGCAAGAATAGTCTGCTATTCATAAACTCTGAACTAGCTATTTTCCTAAATATTTATAGGCTATATTACACTATACATATATAAGCAAAGAAGTTATATATATATAGTTACAGCATACACTTAACACTGAACCGGCTACTTTTACAAAACAATCACCTGTTTTAAACTTTAGTGACAACACTGCAGACATAGTATAAGTTCAATTAAAATTAATTATAGACAATCAATGCCCCAAAGATATATTACACAGAGGAATCGCTACAATCTTATTATTATGTAAGTCATTATTGCCCCCTGTTCATACCCCGCTGTTGTTACACGAAGAAGTTAAAAACAGAAATCCATGTAGGAACAGTACTGTATATATCCATTGGTTTGAGTGATAACAAAGAAAGGAAGACAACAACTACAAAACAGAAAATAAAAGGAGGCAATTCCGCCAGAAGATTTTGAATTACATGTAGTATATGTGTAAGATGTATTGCCAGTGTTCTTAACATGTACATTTTTCATACCATCGAGTTTCAAACAAAAAGTCACTAACGGAGTCACTTATACCCGAGATAAGACGGATGGCAGAGTGGTCATTGATCTCAGAGTACCAACGAGAAAGTTTGAGTATGTCATGCTCTGCCTCACACAATCCCTTACAGTCCTTGGGGTGTGAACCTTTAAACCATCATTTTTGTTAGCCAATGGAGACACAGCGAGGCCAAGTGATCCTCCCTGGGCTTAAGCTCTGGAGACTCAGAATGGGAGATTTTATTGGCTAAATATCTCGACCTTGGGATGTGAAGAGAAAATGGTACAAGAACATCAACAGGTCAGCAAAGCCCAATATCCCCATTAATCACTCAGGAGAAGCTACACAGCAATCATTTTGAATTTTGAAATCTGATAACAGGACCAAGGGAAACCTACATATCAAAGGTGAGAAAGATATCCCTCCAGTACTTCCTGAGAAATAGCGATAACAAACATTCACAGTAAAAATCCAAGATGGCCACCTGTCAGCCTTTTGTTTATTTGATCAATCTCAAAATTCAATTTACACAAAAAAGGATCATGAGAAACATACATATCAAATTTGAGAAAGATCCCTCCAGAACGTTCTGAGAATTAGGGATAACAAGAATTGTTTAAGGATGGACGGACCCCGACAAGGGTAAGTTGAACAGCCAACCATCTGATGATGGTGAGCTAAAATTATACAATATAGGTCAAACATCAAACCCCAGTTAAAATCTTGGATAAATAGGGTACCAAGCAAGTTTTTAAAAACTAGATGATTCATTCAGAATATATCACACAAATAGTAATCAGCCATGCAATCAGAATGCAGCTTCTGCATTAAATACAAACAAAAATGTCAATTATCAAACCTGAAAGAGGGAATTGAGTAATTAAGGAATACATCAGCAAAGGTTAATCAAAATCTGGCCATTCCAAGATATCACACGGAAAACGGATTGGTCGAGTGGTTAACACTCTGGCCTTCCAAGCAGGCGGTCGGGGTTCGATCCCCAAAGTCGCCGTACGCATGGAATATTAGAGAAAGTGTTTTTCTCATGCCCACACAACTCCAACAACCCAGGTTGAGTATAAAATGGTCTTGGGTTGGTGTTGCGGTATCTGTGCTGTAGCATTCAAGTGAGGTGGCACTATAAATGATACCGTTGGAAGAACGGTCCCACTACAAACAGAACACAATACATCTCCAGCACACACACAGGCATACACACATAGGGAGATATTAGCCAGGTGGCATAGGACTAGTAGTTAGTGCCTGATAAGGCAGCTCCTGCGAATATTGTTTTGATTATTATATATATGCTAATTGTATTGACTGTATAAAATTGTATATCTATGTACTGTAAAGTGCTTTAGAGTGGCTTATGTTAGCTAGATAGGGCGCTATATCAAATGTTGTAAATTTATTTTTATTTAAAGCAAAAAATGGACAGACAGATGGACGGATGGACAACCCAATCACTATAGGGCACCCCATCTTCATTGTAGGACCTTTATTAGACCACTGGACTGATTGGTAACTTAAAGGCCACACAAGGGGTGAAAGCACTGTAGGCCCGCCAACATTGATTTGTAGAGCCAGTCAAAAAGAATTGGAGGGTTGTTTGGGAGGGGCAAACCATGCCCTAGTTATTCCACTGAGGAAAAGAGGAGAACCATCACTTCCTCTAGCCGTACACCCAAGTATGTATAGACCCTGCAATGGCAGGATTCTAGAAACACAAACCACTCACAAGCTGGTTTTAAGAAAGTCTGAATGCTACAAACAAGCAAATGCCTAACAGACAAAAGAATAGATGCACATACAATACTGCACAGTTCAATATTGAATACTTAATTGAGTCTACTCAGTTGGGTATTGAGTACAGTGTATTGATAATTTGATGGAGAATAGATACCACACAAAATATGAATTCAAAGCGGGCATCTCTAAATGGTTCTCAAGGCATGTTAGACACTATATAATAATGGCCCCTATCGGTTATTATCAACTGACAAAGACTTTTAAATTTGCAATTCTTAGTTATACCGTTCCAATCATTAAGATCACATTGGTAGGCTAGTTACACTAAATATATAAGATATCTGAAGTCAATGATATTTCTGACCTGTACATTTTTGCTGCTTGTTGTTGCCGGACGACTTTCCTCACTTTTTCCTTTTTTGGAAGTAGGTTCCCTGGAGGCGGATCCTGAGGAGTTGTTCTTCATAGAATTATCCTTTTCTGTTGAATTCTCTTTTTCAACATCCATCTCCTTAGAGAAAAACTCAGTATTCAGTATTGTTAATATGTACTTGGTTCTATAGAGGCATAGTAAAACAAGCAAATTTGTGGAATTTATATCCCCTGCTTGCAGGACATATTGTAGGTTAATATTATTGAGGTTAGGTTTAAGCATGTGAGTATCGTGCTATTGAGACATAATGTATAGTCTGAAACTTGAAGAAAAAAAAAATTCACATCAGTTGGAAAACTTAGCATGAGTTGGATGTGCATAAGGAATTTGGTTGAAACATCTTAACAATATCTACAGCAATTATCACACGAAAACCAAAGAGTGCCCGAGATGGATGGAACTACAGAGGAACACAAACATTGTTATCAAGTTTGAAGGAAGTTTGAAGCTAATATTTTTTTTCTCTATTTTTTAGAGTTATTAAGTGGAAACTGCAGATAATGACATTTTTTTTAGAGTTAATGAACAGAAACAGCAGATAATGATGTTTTTCTTTATTCAAGGAGCCATCAAACTTGGCCGAGCCCTTAAGGAATTTAACCCTGTGACCAAGTTTAAAGTAAATCGGTTAACATTTGTTGTAGTTATTGCATGGAAACGGCGCAGCAGATAATTACGGTTTTCGTTATTCAAGGGGCCATAACTCTGCCAAATGTGGTCCGCTGAAAGTGGTCATCGAACCTGGCTGAGCCCTTAAGGCATTTAACCCAGTGACCAAGTTTAAAAAAAATAGGTTAACATTTGTTGTAGTTATTGCACGGGAACGAAGCATGACAGACAGACAGACAGACAAACCCAAACTAATATCCCCCGTTTCGGTGAAAGCGGGGGATAAAAAGGATGTACATTCTACTTGAATCTGTAAACTGACTTATTCAATAAAGTGCTCAACCTTTCTGTCTATTCAATAACAGACCACAAAATGAAAACAATCATATAATTTAATAACCCAATAGAAAATATCACTGGATTGAACTTGTATTCCTGTGAAATAACAGTGGTAAAATTGGCCAATATTCCAGTGGAATATAAAGTGGCCAGGAGGCCTATTAGCTCACCACTTTTTTTCCAACAGCCTCCTAGCTTTCTTCAAGGGCAAAAGTCAGCAATGGAAGTAAGTTAGGTCCATTATATATATTGTTGACTTTCACCCTTGAAGGAGGCTACATGATTATTGTTTACTTCCGTTTATAGTCGAGGCATTTCAGAGTTACTCCCCTTGGATGGAAACTCGCCATTTGTAATACAAATGGAGTCATTTGAGGAAACACTTACATTAGCCTGATTAAGGCATATTATTTGTAAGTAATCATTGATACTTAGTTATTATGTTACTACATTTATTTATTGTCCATTAATGTACTGTGTCAATTATTCTTTTGTCTCGTTTCCAATGTTAATTATGTTTATCATCGGAACAACACATCGTTTGGTAAATATCTGAGTATTTCTCATTTATGTATTTTCAGACTGTGTTCATTGTTGATCTTAATAAAGACGTACAAAAAGACCACGTTCTTATAGAGGCCAGGAGGAACAAATTATTGGGACTCTTAACTTTTGTTTAATTTCTGATATATCAACTATGGTAAAGGTATATTAAAAGAGTGTAACATATATAAGCTAAGAACAGGAAAAGGAGTCGAGGGAATTATGATGGGATGGTAATTCATGCAACATTTCAATATTTCAAATGATTTTCCCTGGGTCCTTCTGCCCCACACCCTCATTTATACAACGTTGATCAGTTTACCTACCTAGATGATCTACCAAATTTAGTTAAATTTTCTTTACCTGTATTGGAGGTTAAGGATATTAAATATTTACCTCTTTTCCGCTATAAGGTACTGCCCCTCAGTTTCCTCAACAGGGACGGACCACACTCTCAATGTATACAGTGCTGATTCTGATGGGCCTTAAGATGCTCCAGAACAGTTTAGGTTAAAATCCCTTTACTACACTGGAGGAGTAGGATTTCAATTGTTTGAAAGTTTATTTCCCCGATAATCCATGAGTGATTTACCAAAACAGGCAATCTGAAGACTTTATTTCCTAAACATGATAGTTTAGGTGTGTGGGCAATATAATTTATCCTCTGAGTCTGGAAAAGATTTTTGAAATATTTGTTAATTTTCCCTTTGGGGCCCCACCCTGGCCCCAGGGGAGGGGTAGGAATCCCAATTTTACTATTTTGTAGCCTCATCTACCAAGGATGATTCTGACCAAGTTTGAAAAATATCCATCCACTGGTTCTTGAGAAGAAATTGAAAATGCAAAAAGTTTACGCACAACGCACGACAGACAACGACGACGGAAAGCGATTAGCATAGGTCACTTACAGGTGACCTAAAAATAGAGATAACAAATCTCAACTTAGGTAACTAAGGTATTAAGTTTGAGAAAGATTCTTCCAGTTCTAAGAAATAGTGAAAGATGGCTGCTTGTCAGCCATTTTGTTTATCTGATCAGTCTCAAAAGTAAATATGCACAACAAAGGACCAAGAGGAACTTACATATCAATTTTGAGAATGATCCCTTCAGTACTTTCTGAGAAATAGCAATAACAAGAATTGTTAAGGATGGACGGACAGACAATGGACGGACCACTGACGAACTTGGGATCACAGACCACGGATGATAGACAATTTGAATAGCCCACCATCTGTTGATGGTGGGCAAAGGGAGAGAATAAGACAAGATTCTGATTTCTGGCATCCATCTTCTTCTTCCTATCAAGCTCCAAATGAAAAATTGCAAAACAAGGCATTTCATGTGAAGATCCTACCTATAAAATTGGGAATGATCTGCAGGGCACACCTACCATTTATAAAACAAGGATGCTCCAGATCATATTTAGTTAAATTCCCTCCATTCTGAGTAGGATTTTAAAGGTTCATCTCTATTTCACATTCTTGGCCCTGCCCCTTTGTCTCCAGGGGAACCATACCCTCCATTTGTACAACCATGAATCCACTTTGTCTATTATGTCTCAGACAAAATTTTGTAATTTAAACCTCTTGGTTTGTTACCAAAGAATAAGAATTGTAAAGATTAACCTCTATTTCTTCTTATGTAGCCCTGTCCCTCTGTTTACACTAATCTGAATCACTTTGTCCAAGGATGCTCCAAACTAAATTCAGTCAAAATCAACTTAGGATAAGTAGTGTTTTGAAAAATCTGACAAATGATGGACAGACGAGCAATGGAGGCTGCACCACAGCATAAGCTCACCAGTCCTTTAGACCAGGGGAGCTAATAAAACATAACAGTCGTACAGTAGTCTGTGATACATATGTATATACAGAGTGTGATTACAGAGAAATAATAAAATTCAAAGGTTTCCGGAACAGTAATGAGTTACATTTATGTAGGTTCTTACCTTGGGACCTTTGGCAGCTTTCTTTGGACCACTTTCAGCTGATATCGATGATGAACTTTTAACACTTTTCTCTCTTTTTTTCTCTCTTTTTTTCTTCTTTTTGATCCTGGCATTGCAATTTTTTCTATCCATTTTCCTTTTTTTTCCTGCTCGAAATTCTCTGTTGTGAAGTTGTTTTTCATCAGTCCCTTCACTGCTGCCATCACTGCTAGAATCTTCGCTATCCTCCGTATCTGTTTCTCCGACTGAAGCCCTGTTTTCTGTCTGAGGATCTTCATCAACATCCATCTTTGTGGTTGTATATGTGGCAGACACTGTCTCTGCACCCTTTGGTTTTTCATTCAGTTTAAATAAAGAAGAAGCTTGCAGTGCCTGGCTAAATGGTATCAGGGTTTCTGCGGAATCTATTGCAGAAGTTGTGTCATGATCACGTTGAGGTGTCGTTAGTAGCCTCTGTGATTGATTTCCAGGAGAAAGTGGTATAGCGTACTTGGGATCATGAGAAGATGAAGATCTGATCTGGATATTTCCTGAGCCACTAAGAGAACTTAGAAATAAAGAGGTATCATGGCCAACCTGTTGAGATATTTCTACTTTTCCTTTGGGGCTTTGTATCTCTTGTATTGTTTCATCCTGAACAGTTTGCCCGGTTACTGTCGCACTGTTGCTGTAGTTCATCTGATTGGGGAAACTTGTTTTCTGAGTTTCACTTCTTTGTTGGGCTAAAATGATGATAGAGCAAACTTAAAGTAAGGAAAGATTTACATCCTACAGTAACTATGACATGTATGAGTGAGCAAGCTGACAATGTCTTTTGGAAGACTCGAGGATACTCTAGATCAGATTTGGTTCAAGTCCCTACATCTGTGCAGAAGGAGAAGGATTTTATATTAACTTCTATTTCCTCTATTGGGCCCTGCCCCTCTGCCTCCAGTTGAGTCATACCCTTCATGCTTACAACAATAAGTCCCCTACAATGTATGGGCCTCAAAGCCTATGAAAAAACAAGACGCCCAGGGGCCTTAATAGCTCACCTTGTATTTTGTTTTCAATTCAAAACCTGCTGAGTACCATACCAGTTTATCAAAGGAGTACAAGGAATACAAATTGCATAAATGACTACATGTTAATCGGTTTGACACATAATAATAAGACACTAAGAATATGGGTGTATTCTTCATGTCCAGAAATTTTGTAAATGATTATTGCATGGGGATCTTGACTGTTTCCATGTTATGACCCAGAGAAATTACAGTCTCCACATAATCTGTTTACAAAAAATTAAATCCTCTTTGCCCAAAGATGCTCTATAACAAGTTTGGTTCCAATCCTTTCATTGGTAGAAAAGGAGGATTTTTAATATTTTCCTCTTTCCTCCTATTTGGCCCCACCCCTCTAACCCCAGGGGGTGGGGGGTGGGGTGGGGGGTGCATATACCATTTTTATACAAACTTGAGAACCCTTTGTCCAATGATGTTCCAAACCAAATCTGGTAAAACTCCACTCAGCCGTTAAGGACTAGTAGTGTTTTAAAGGAAAAAGTTGATGGATGACTGACACTGCACCATGGCTTAGGCTCACTTGGCCCTTTAGACCAGGTGAGCTAGCAATGAACATTGAAAGAAACATAACTTGACAAGGGAGGTTACTCTAAGCCATAACATCTTCTCCAAGTCAAAACAAACTCCTCCAAGTGGAACTCTTCTTTGTGATTATAACTGATGCATGAAATTGGTATGGGTTACCCTTTTACCTTCAGTCACAACTTTTAAAGCACTTCAACTTTCTACAGCTTATCATTTGTATACTATTACATTTTGATAGTGCATTTAATTGCACAATTCACTGAGCGTTTACACACCTGGTTAAACAGAAGTGATTTGGCCACACCTATTACTTCCAATCACTATTAGACAGCAGCTAACAAACATCTTGAAGTTTAAATCGGAAAAAAACCTATATCGCAACTCAGTTTTGACCGATAGTAAATAATCCAGAGACTTGTAAAATTAAACCGGTGCACCAAATTTTGAAATTAAGAAGACATTAATAATCAGATCCCATTTAGGGACATGAGCAGACAGACTATTTGAACCAAGTTTGATTGATATTATAATTGAAAAGGATGAGTGTCTATATATCAGGTCCTTTTTTGGGCCTCGGTATATTAAGATTTTCACCTCCTTAATTTTTTCAAAGATGTCCTACTATATTACACATGCAAAAACTAAGGTAAAAGTTTGACCGAAAGTGGGTTTTTGGGGGGTCACGTAAATCACAATTATAATATAACGTAAGGTGAAAATCTTAATATACTGGGGCCTAAAAATGGGCCTTATAGACAATCATCCTTTCTCTGTGAAACAGGGGGCAGAATGGTCAGCATGGAAAATGAGTTACAAATTGGGCAAGAGTATAAGGGGATCAATTGTACCAAGTATGGTTAAAATCTTTCTTGTGGAACTGAAGAACAGACAAATTTGACAATGTCTAGGACAGTAAGAAGTAACTTTATCAGGGCTATGTATGTATGTGTTACGTAGATTAGGTCATTATTAATTTCTCTGGAAATCAGAGCCTTTAGTGGATTATTTTAATATCCAATACTGATGAAAAATATCACAAGATATATTTACAGCTAGACAATATTGCGTTATCATGCATTGTTTTGTAATTCAATCCGGAAAACACCTAATCCTTTTGTTGTTATATGCAATAAAGTCTGCTTAAACTAAAAAACAATCAAAATACAATTTTGATAATTTTATACATGCTGTTATTGATTTATACAAATGGTCCCTACGTAATGTTTGTAAACAGTGGAGGGTGTTGGGGTTAAAGAGGTGAAAAGGTCATGCACACTAATTCGGTTATATTACGCAGCATCAACCTACTACAGCTGCTGCAGACATTGCCTAAACTCGCACAGATGGACAGTGGTCAAGGTCAGTCTTGTGTTTTTAAGTGCAAACTTTTTTGACCCGCCTCCTCCCCATCTTCCTCTATCTGGTATTGTTGTACTTACCTGTTACTTATTATCCAGGTGGTGGTTTTATCCCCACCTAGGACCAAACTATTTCATGTACATGTTCCATATAGGTTTATGTTTTTTGAAATATTTTCAGTTGTTGTTTATACAAAATAAACGGTCAATTTCAATTCAATCATGTGATAAAAAACAGAAAGATGGAACATCAAACATAAGAAAAAATGAGAATATCCAAGACAATAAAATCCCAGGACTACAACTTGTATTTCAAATGGCCATTCTATGAACATTTGCGTGAAGTCTGGTTAAAATTCTAATACTAAATCTGCAGGAAACATTGAAAATGTAAAAAGTAAATAGATGGACAAAGAGTGCTCAATCACACTTCATTCCCTTTAAGATAAACAGTTTGAGGGATAAAAAAAGACAGACCAGGCAGTAACAATCAAACATTAATCAATAACTTACCAAATTCGTTTTGGATTTGTTTGCAGATAGGACAAGTAGTCTCCTGTTTCCTGATGACTCCTGTACATCTGGTTCCCTGGCTGTCGGCCCCACACACCCTGGACCCAGGCTCAAATATGGACTGGTTTACTCTCCATCCACAAGTATCACAAAACTTTTTACCCCGAACAAGTTCTTTGTTGTTGCAGGGATTTTCGTCATCTGTTCCTGGACAGGCGACAGTGTCTTTAGGTTTTTCCAAAACAGAAACTTTTGGTACACATGTTCCACATTCTGGACAGATTTCAACATCTGGTTGAAGGTCACTTCCACAGGGTCTACCATCTTTCAAGCCCTGACACTTCATCATGTCAAGGGGTTCTACATTCACCTACAAAAAAGACACCTTTATTAGGCCACACTACATTCTTCCTTATCCTTTGAATTTCCTCTATAACTCATTGATTCATACATTTTCACCTGTTTCTTTTATTATTACCTTACAGTAACAGTATTTATTTTGAGAAACTGATCTTCAACAAGAGGCACACAGGGTCTGTATCACTTCCCTGTTTCTTTTGTTATGTGAATTAGACAAGAGGTTGAGACTGAAATGCTTCAGCATGCATGAGACCATGGTGATCATTTACAATTCCCCACTGATCCAAAACATCCTCCAAGTGCCCACCATCATAGGATCTTTATCTGATCTACAAAGGATCTTGGTGCCCACCATCATAGAATCTTTATCTGATCTACAAAGATGATCTTTTCGTTACTTTCTTTGCTCTTCATTTTCCTAAGAGGTATTAAAATGACCAAGTCTCAAATTGAAAATCTTAAACAGGAATCATGTACATTAACTCAGAATGTTGTATATTATTTGCCACTATGAAACAAATATTATTTTATATTCTACCACGTCTGTGATGTAACGACGGTTTTTATTGGTTGAAAAGAGTGCATAATTGAGCGATATACCATGTGCGTGCCAATAACCAATGCACATGAAATAGTGTGCATGCATGCTGTTCCAACAACCTCCCAGTATTTTATCATGAATTAACAAAAATAGCATAACTGTCAGGCGGGATCAAAATATTTGACAGGCCTGCCATTCATAGATCTATAGACCTAAAGTATGTGGGTCCGTGCAGTGAAAATGGTTTATTAATTATTGGCATTTAAAATGTACAGGTCTGAAGACAAAATGGTAAATTATTAATTACTTCTGTTTTTACTTCACTGGGTAGTGCCGTACATTTCACGATGTATGCAGTGTGTGTATGTACTGTCAAGCGTTGATTTCATGTTTTGACGAACGATGTCGATAGCGTGCCAATGTTTGATTGATTGAAATAAACATCGTATCTGACGTCCCACGTGTTCAGTTGTTTCTGGTCTGCAAAACGTCGTCTGCTTTCAAAGAACCAAAGTGATGTCGAGCATTCGCCTACAGTGTACATACCGTGTGTGAAGAATAATATTGCAAAAAGTAACATCGATCTGAACAGTGGTTACAAAACACAGCTGTCCGGTGAAGTCGGTGAAGGTGAGTGTCGTGATCAGCCGGTCAGCGACTTTCCATCCCGTCATGGCAACCAACTAAATATGCCAACTCATGTCTGGCCTATCGTATGATGTTGTATCACTGGCACTTCCAAGACAATCCGCTTGATATCGGTACGATGATGATGGTTTTAGAAGTAAACGCAATCCGAGAATCCCAACCCTACGCACTGAGATGTGATAAATCTTGCACGCGCAAAAGAACAGCGTCTAATTTGCATATCGAATTATCTAGGTCATGTCGCCTTATAAGACAGCAAAACTTTACAATTAGTTACATTTGACGTGGTAGAATAAAAATAATCAACTTATGTGCGTGCATTATGGTGGAATATATAACGAGGGTGAGAAAATGTTGGTAAAACTAGTTAACGAAGGCCGCTTTGGCCTGAGTTAATTATTTTTCCAACATTTTCGAATCGTACCATTTCCCAGAGAGATAATACCATTTCCCAGAGAGATAATAATGACAGAGAACAATAAGCCTCATCAATAACCCATTATATGGTATATTGCCTCCATTTCCCAGAGAGATAATAATGAAAGAGAACAATAAGCCTCATCAATAACCCATTATATGGTATATTGCCTCCATTTCCCAGAGAGATAATAATGAAAGAGAACAATAAGCCTCATCAATAACCCATTATATGGTATATTGCCTCCATTTCCCAGAGAGATAATAATGAAAGAGAACAATAAGCCTCATCAATAACCCATTATATGGTATATTGCCTCCATTTCCCAGAGAGATAATAATGAAAGAGAACAATAAGCCTCATCAATAACCCATTATATGGTATATTGCCTCCATTTCCCAGAGAGATAATAATGAAAGAGAACAATAAGCCTCATCAATAACCCATTATATGGTATATTGCCTCCATTTCCCAGAGAGATAATAATGAAAGAGAACAATAAGCCTCATCAATAACCCATTATATGGTATATTGCCTCCATTTCCCAGAGAGATAATAATGAAAGAGAACAATAAGCCTCATCAATAACCCATTATATGGTATATTGCCTCCATTTCCCAGAGAGATAATAATGAAAGAGAACAATAAGCCTCATCAATAACCCATTATATGGTATATTGCCTCCATTTCCCAGAGAGATAATAATGAAAGAGAACAATAAGCCTCATCAATAACCCATTATATGGTATATTGCCTCCATTTCCCAGAGAGATAATAATGAAAGAGAACAATAAGCCTCATCAATAACCCATTATATGGTATATTGCCTCCATTTCCCAGAGAGATAATAATGAAAGAGAACAATAAGCCTCATCAATAACCCATTATATGGTATATTGCCTCCATTTCCCAGAGAGATAATAATGAAAGAGAACAATAAGCCTCATCAATAACCCATTATATGGTATATTGCCTCCATTTCCCAGAGAGATAATAATGAAAGAGAACAATAAGCCTCATCAATAACCCATTATATGGTATATTGCCTCCATTTCCCAGAGAGATAATAATGAAAGAGAACAATAAGCCTCATCAATAACCCATTATATGGTATATTGCCTCCATTTCCCAGAGAGATAATAATGAAAGAGAACAATAAGCCTCATCAATAACCCATTATATGGTATATTGCCTCCATTTCCCAGAGAGATAATAATGAAAGAGAACAATAAGCCTCATCAATAACCCATTATATGGTATATTGCCTCCATTTCCCAGAGAGATAATAATGAAAGAGAACAATAAGCCTCATCAATAACCCATTATATGGTATATTGCCTCCATTTCCCAGAGAGATAATAATGAAAGAGAACAATAAGCCTCATCAATAACCCATTATATGGTATATTGCCTCCATTTCCCAGAGAGATAATAATGAAAGAGAACAATAAGCCTCATCAATAACCCATTATATGGTATATTGCCTCCATTTCCCAGAGAGATAATAATGAAAGAGAACAATAAGCCTCATCAATAACCCATTATATGGTATATTGCCTCCATTTCCCAGAGAGATAATAATGAAAGAGAACAATAAGCCTCATCAATAACCCATTATATGGTATATTGCCTCCATTTCCCAGAGAGATAATAATGAAAGAGAACAATAAGCCTCATCAATAACCCATTATATGGTATATTGCCTCCATTTCCCAGAGAGATAATAATGAAAGAGAACAATAAGCCTCATCAATAACCCATTATATGGTATATTGCCTCCATTTCCCAGAGAGATAATAATGAAAGAGAACAATAAGCCTCATCAATAACCCATTATATGGTATATTGCCTCCATTTCCCAGAGAGATAATAATGAAAGAGAACAATAAGCCTCATCAATAACCCATTATATGGTATATTGCCTCCATTTCCCAGAGAGATAATAATGAAAGAGAACAATAAGCCTCATCAATAACCCATTATATGGTATATTGCCTCCATTTCCCAGAGAGATAATAATGAAAGAGAACAATAAGCCTCATCAATAACCCATTATATGGTATATTGCCTCCATTTCCCAGAGAGATAATAATGAAAGAGAACAATAAGCCTCATCAATAACCCATTATATGGTATATTGCCTCCATTTCCCAGAGAGATAATAATGAAAGAGAACAATAAGCCTCATCAATAACCCATTATATGGTATATTGCCTCCATTTCCCAGAGAGATAATAATGAAAGAGAACAATAAGCCTCATCAATAACCCATTATATGGTATATTGCCTCCATTTCCCAGAGAGATAATAATGAAAGAGAACAATAAGCCTCATCAATAACCCATTATATGGTATATTGCCTCCATTTCCCAGAGAGATAATAATGAAAGAGAACAATAAGCCTCATCAATAACCCATTATATGGTATATTGCCTCCATTTCCCAGAGAGATAATAATGAAAGAGAACAATAAGCCTCATCAATAACCCATTATATGGTATATTGCCTCCATTTCCCAGAGAGATAATAATGAAAGAGAACAATAAGCCTCATCAATAACCCATTATATGGTATATTGCCTCCATTTCCCAGAGAGATAATAATGAAAGAGAACAATAAGCCTCATCAATAACCCATTATATGGTATATTGCCTCCATTTCCCAGAGAGATAATAATGAAAGAGAACAATAAGCCTCATCAATAACCCATTATATGGTATATTGCCTCCATTTCCCAGAGAGATAATAATGAAAGAGAACAATAAGCCTCATCAATAACCCATTATATGGTATATTGCCTCCATTTCCCAGAGAGATAATAATGAAAGAGAACAATAAGCCTCATCAATAACCCATTATATGGTATATTGCCTCCATTTCCCAGAGAGATAATAATGAAAGAGAACAATAAGCCTCATCAATAACCCATTATATGGTATATTGCCTCCATTTCCCAGAGAGATAATAATGAAAGAGAACAATAAGCCTCATCAATAACCCATTATATGGTATATTGCCTCCATTTCCCAGAGAGATAATAATGAAAGAGAACAATAAGCCTCATCAATAACCCATTATATGGTATATTGCCTCCATTTCCCAGAGAGATAATAATGAAAGAGAACAATAAGCCTCATCAATAACCCATTATATGGTATATTGCCTCCATTTCCCAGAGAGATAATAATGAAAGAGAACAATAAGCCTCATCAATAACCCATTATATGGTATATTGCCTCCATTTCCCAGAGAGATAATAATGAAAGAGAACAATAAGCCTCATCAATAACCCATTATATGGTATATTGCCTCCATTTCCCAGAGAGATAATAATGAAAGAGAACAATAAGCCTCATCAATAACCCATTATATGGTATATTGCCTCCATTTCCCAGAGAGATAA